GCTGCAGTTTCCCCCTGAGCACCGGGCGCCCCCCGTCCTGTACCGGTGCTGGTGCCAGCGGCGGTGCGTGCTGCAGGGGTGGCATTGCGCCGGAGCAGAGGACAGGCTGAGGCACCAGCGCCTTTGGTGTGTCCCTCGTTAAGGACCAGACCGGGGCACACACCGTTCGGAGGCCAGCACCCGCTGAGCCGCAGGGCATCGGGGAGCTCGGGCCATCCTGCCCGCAGCAGCACTGCGGCACGGGGCCGTCCCGGGCTCCCCGAGGTCACGCTGCAAATTCTCTCAAAGGGTGTTGCAGAAGGAAACTCTTTGGCATGCTTTAATGGGGTTATTTTTACTGGTCACTTAGCTCCTCTCCTTGCTAAGACACTGGTTTACTTCCAGCACTGAGCCAATTCAGGGTGAAACCCTTCGAGCATGTCCTTGTGCCTGGTTATCGAGCCAGCCGTACTTCGCTTCCCAGCCCCGAGGTTGGGCAGGTGAAGCAGCAGGCTGTGCAAAGTGGGACAGCCCTGCTGGAACAAGCAAGGCCAATTTAATTTGGCCAGCTTAAACGGGAACGTGCTCATTTTGCCTGCAAGGAACCCGGACTTTTCCCTGGCGGGAGCCCAGCCCAGGGCAGAGACGTTCCTGCCGGGACTCGCTGCTGCTGCTGCACCACTCCCCTGCCACGGGGCTGCGGCAGCCCGCCTTCCCTGCTTACAGCTGGGTGAACTATTTATTAGCATGATTTCACCCTTTTTGGGTTGCTGCTTCATCACAAATGGACTGTGAATTGTACCAATGTGTTGCTTGTTTTAAATTGTCACCAAATGCTTTGCGTGAGCATGTGTCAGCCTCGGGATGCCTTGCGACCTGTCTGCTCCTACTCAGCGTGAGCGTCAGCTCTTGAGTTCTGCCTTTTGTTGGGGGGACACAGAGATGTCCTGGTCACGGCAGATTTGGGGTTTGAAGCCTCCCCTTCCTTCTTCTCTGGCTTCACCCTGGCTTTCAGGTTCCTTTGGTGAAGTCGCCCAAGGGAGGGAGGGAGACCCACGGGAGCCCCTGGCCAGCCCCAGCCTCTCCAGCCGCCCCTCGCCACAGCCCCATCGCGCTGGCGGTGCAGCCCCTCGGAGCGAGGCGCTCTGGGCCCTCTGAGGTCAGCTCTGCGTCCGTGCCCCGTTCCCTGGGAGATGCGGTCCCCGGGGCGGTTTGGGAGTGACGCTCGCGTCCTCCTCCGAGTGTGGGAGCTGGTGTTAATGTAGGGAGCGCGTTCTCGCGCCCCACGAGGTGAAGAGCACTAATGAACCTCGCAAGATGGTGTTGTCTAATGAGCAAATGCAGCTGCGACAGGCAGCCCGGTGGGTGCAGGGAGGAGTTGCTATAGAAACACTCGGAGATAACAGCTCCTCCAGAAGCCCCTAAATGCGCAAACCGGAGGGCAGGGGCAGGTGAGCGAGGTGTCAGCGTCTCGCTGCTGCGATGGCAGAAGGAAAAGGAAAAGAAAAAGCATTTCCCAGTGTCACAGGGGTGAACCCACGGCTGGGGTGGGAGCAGTGCAGATGCATCCTCCTCGCTCCCTCCCGGGATCCTGCTCTGTGCTTGCTGTGCATTCTCCGAGGGTCCCTTGCGGGGGGCACAAAGGCCACTTGGCTGCTGGCAGAGCAGAGGGGAGGGGACCTGAAACAGAGCAAGTTCCCAGTGGTGTCCCCTTGCCTGCAGCATCACCGTGCCCATCCTCATCCCCATGGCACCGGCATCTCCCAAGGGGTGCGAGGCTCCTGCCTGGCCGTGGTGGGAGCTGGCAGAAGCTGAGTAGGAGGAGAGCGGAGTCCAGGGCTTCCAGAAGAGGGGCCTGGGCAGGAGATGAGGAGCAACGTTTTGGGGGTCCCAGAACGTGCTGGGGAAGAAGCAGGTCTGGAGGAGGCAGTTTGGCACCGGCCACACGGGCGGTACTTGCACACTGGGACCCCTGGGCATGGGTACCACGCAGCAAGGAGCAGGGTTGCCATGGGACGGGCACCGTGGAGGCAAGCGGCCTCCCCTGCCCAGCCGGTTCCCTTGCTGTCGGCATGGGGGGCGGGGGGGCATTAATCTGGGACTCAAGCTGAACCTTGTCACTGGTGTGACCAGCAGCTGAAGGGGTCCAGGACAAGACATGTGAGGAGGAACTGAGCTCTTTAAATCAGTCTCTGTCAGCGCTGTGGAGGGGTCCGACAGCCTGATGGAGCCATGCATGGGACGGGGCAAGAGATGCAGCCGGTGTCCCCAGCATCCCTGGTGTCCCCAGCATCCCCGGTGTCCCCAGCATCCCTGGCATTTGCAGCTCTGGGAGGACTGAGGCCAACAGAGCACAAAGGGCTGGGGCTGCTCTGATCTTTCCTTTCCAGGTATGGCTGGATCCGGAGTTCTGGGCCACAGCTGCCTTGGCCCTGCTCCTCACTCCCCTCCCTTGTCTCGTTTTTCCCAGGATTTTCATCCCCAAGAAGCACCGGCAGCGGTTTGACGAGGTGGTGTCGCAGAGCCTGATCAGCAAGCTCTGCCGCTCCAAGAGCGAGCAGCACAGCAACCGGCTGCGGCGCAGCCGGAGCGAGGACCACCAGGAGCGGCTCCTCGTCTCCACCCGCGCCAGCTCCGTGCCCCGCAGCCACGAGGAGGTCAGCAAGAGCCTGCGGAAAACCACTTCGCTCATCACCAGCAATGTGGCCTCGGGGGCTGCCCGCAGGTAACACCTCTCCTGGACGCCCTCTGATTTGGTGTGGGTGGTGGCACCGGAGAGAGGGATGCCCGGGAATGGGGGAGGCGTGAGGAAAGGGGCTGGCTTTGGTGTGCAGAGCGGGTGAAATCCTCCTGGGTTGAGGACTAACCTCTCCCTCTCGAAGGCTGAGCACGTTTACACCCCTTGTCCCAGCTCCAGGCCACCCTTTCCACCTCCTCGCTCCTGCAGGGTCGGCTGGGATGCGCCCTGCGAGGAGCTGAGATGGCCCTTGGCGGCTGCAAGGGGGGGGTCGGCTCCTGTGCTGGGTGGGCTGCAGGGTGCCCAGCCCCCGAGGGTGTCAGGGTGTGAGGCCGTGGCAGGAAGGATGGACAATCCCTGGGGCACAAGGGATTAACCCATTTCCCACTGCCCGTATGGCCAGACCTCAGCACCCCTGGAGGGCCGAGGAGCCCCGCCGTGCTGGCAGTGGCTCCTGCTCTGTTCCCAGCCCCATCTCACGAACAAGAGAGCAGGATTTGGTCTGCCAGCACAGCCAGAGTGTCCTCCTGGCAGGGACTGCGCTGCCACAGGCACACTCCGAGCTATTCCCCTGCCTCCAGCTGGTATCTCCAGGGCATTCGGCTGCAACCCACCTTCCCGCCAGGATAATTGTTGGTGTGACTTATCCAAAACCCAGTTCCAGCACAATCTCCCTCCCTGCCAGCGCAGGATCAGCCCCTACCAGAGGCGTTCTGGTTGTAAATGCTCTCGGTGATGTTGCTTCCCCCCAGCTCCCTGCAGGGAACAACTCCCAGCTCCAGTCAGCCTCCCAGCAGGGAGATTTCCTAATGCTCCTTCCAAAACTTCCTAGCCCAATTTAATTTCTCTCTCTCATCAGCCTACAAGACCTTTGGCCCCTAAAACACATTGTCCCTCTTACTCTGTGTAATATCTAAGCTGTATCCCGCGTTCCACTTTAAAACCACACGGGATCTGAAGGACTGGCGAGTGGGTTTATGAATTCAGTAACTGCTGCAGAGCAAGAGGCCGTGCTCAGGGGCTCTGCCCCTAGAACCGCAGCATCTCTTCCCGCCTCCAGAGCACTGGGGTCCCCCCAGCCCTCCCCAAGGTTTTGTCTGGGCCATTTCTAGCACCCCAGATCCCTCCCCACCCCACCACCCTGTGCTGGCTCAGCACCCTGGGCTCCCTCTGCTCCCTCGCACA